TTTTGTCCATTATGATATGATATATTTGATATGTAAATCTATAATAACCTGTTTCATATTATAGTAATGTTGAACTAAATTAGTTTACCATAACAAGTTGATTGAGATATAATAACACGTATATATCCTGTAAAAAAATATATCAAAACGTATAATAAACATTACATCAATATTTAAAAAACTAGACATGTGTTTTAGTTCTCATGAAAACTATGATTATTTTACATAAAGTCCTTCGTAAACTCTCTCTGTTCACTTTAAGTCTTTGTATTCAACAAACTACAAGTATTAAATGCTGTACGTGTTTTTAGTTTTCACATTACTGTTTTAACAAGCCAAAACGCCATTTATTTTTTTTAATTAATATGACAATTGCTAAATAACATAAAATTTATTTAATAACTGAATATAGTCCCTCAAGCTGATCCGGTGTCAGAATTCGTGTGGGCAGAGTGGACTTTATTTCATGTTAAGCCTTTCTTTGAAGTCACCATGCCATTAAAAATAAGTTCCTTTTTAAAACTTTTATGGCTATGGAGAATTATTATTCAACTACATATTATTAGGTGTATAAGTAAATTAAAATAAAACTTTGGGATACTAGTTAGGATTTTTACAATAAGAATTTATAGATATTAAACCTGAAAAGAAGAGTGAATAAATCCAACTACTGCTAAAGGCCATGTTAGCTGAATTTTCCAACCACAACCAAAGGTACATAATGGCTCGTTTTGTCCACAAAGTGTAATTAAGGCTTCACAAAACCAATGCAATGAGTCTCTAAAAGCGTGTGGCAATTAAAATCGTTCGGAGTTTAAATTAAGTTACGAAAGTGGTGAAAATTAATTGACGGTATTCATTTTTATTTTATAATAGAAGATAACAAAAAAAAATCTTTGAGAATTAGTTTGTGTCTCTCTATTTTTTTTAAGTATTTTCGTTCAACAAGATTTTAAAAAACGTAAAGGTTTATCTTATATCTTATCTTATCTTCTATATACATATATAAAAATGGATTGCTGTTCCTTAGTCTCGCTAAAACTCGAGAACAGCTGAACGGATTTATCTTATCTTAGTCTTGAAAAGTTCGTGGAAGTTCAGGGAAGGTATAAAAGCTGAAAAAAATTGATTCATTACTGGTAAAACCAATAAAACAGCCCTTTTCTATTTCCCATACAAACGTGTTTTTTTTTTACATTAGATTTGACAACTAACTAATATGTCAATCATTCTGTCGCACTTCAAAACACGGAGATTTATGGCTTAGAGGTATACTCCAAAAATATAAATAAAAAACGTAATAAATATTTCTTGATTATAGGGCGATACGAAGTTCGCCAGGTCTTTTAGTCATATATACTAAAAATTCGCTTCAGAGCTGTTCCAAATATCATTTCTTATAATATATGACTATTTAAATTGATTAATATAATATTTAAAATATTTCTGACATTTATTTTAAAGTCAGCACTATTGTTATCCAGGCAATGATATTTTTTTAATTTTTAAAAATATTATTATCACTTAAATAAGGAACTGGTAGAATAATTTACTCGAGCGGAGGTCTTAATTTTCTTCATATATTTTAAAAGAAAAAGAATCTTTCTTACTCACTCATTTGTTTATTAATATTAGTCTTCTAACTTAACTTCGTGTAGCATATGAATATCACTTTCTTTCTCTCAAATATTGGGTGCAAGAACGTATTTAAAAACATGAAGAATGAAGAATTATGATAGAGATTAACTTGGCATTATGTTAATCGTTGAGAAACAACATTGCCTAACATTTTATCAAAGATAAGAGAAAAGATAAACTTATACAAAAAAGTTTGTAAGGACCAACCATGTTTAAAGAAAAATGTTCCTATTGTTTTAAAATAAAATTATAAATGTTATACAAGCGAAATAAATGATTATCATTTTATAAGATCCATATACAGTCTATATATATTAAATAATTTCATATCTAATATTTCATTTTTTACCCTAAAAAACAAAAAGGTAACTTGCAAAAATTTTACTCTAATTCCATAGACATATTTTGCTGGCTGTCCGAGTAAGTATAACAGGAAACTGTTATTATTTTATTGCATTGTCCTTGATCTCGGAAACGTATGCATACTTTCAAATTAACAATATTTCTGGAAATTTGTGAAACTTATGCTCGAAGATGGATATACTCGAGTCTAAAAAAGCGTGTTAAAAAGTTGATATGTTTCATTTCAGCATCATTGGATAATAATGCAAAGTATTTATTATTTTTATTTACTTAGAATAAATACTAAACATTAAATGAACTCTTATGTAGGTTAATGCTTTATGCAAATGACGTAACGAGGAGCTTATAGTGACATAGGGAGGTTTATGTTAAAATACATGACGGATAAGATAGATGACGGATTTAAACTAACTTAAAACTTTCATTTGTAATCTTCTTTGAAACAATTTATACTCTTATAGTTCTATATAAAAATAAAATACATAGAATTTAAAAAAAAAAAACTATTTTACAACATATATATGAAAATATCATGTAAAATTAAGCTTTCAATTTATTTTGTTAGTATAAAAATTTGGATATTTTATACTGGAAATAATTGTGAGGCCTTGTAATTTTATTATTCTCTTTATGACTGTAATAAACGATATAATATACTGTGTGAAGTTTACTCCGGCTAGGAAAAATAATATGAAGAAGGAATTTGGTTTCAATCTTTTTCAGGAATTTATATACTAATACTGATTTAAAAATATTTCAAATACTGAATTAAAAATCCATATCGTTAAGTTGGTTTTCACTCAGTTGAAAATAGAAGCTGTTCGAAACACGTAGGTACATAGAACGAAAACTGAAAAACTATAAGGAGTTTACGGTTTTATTATCAGAAACAATGTGACGTTAATTGCAGTATTATTTACTAAACAGATACACGGTATCAGACTTTGATTATAGAACATTATAAATATTTATAGTAACCATTCGGTTGCTATAATTAGTTGCTATAAACTCATCTTTTTTTCAATTGTCACTAAAGTAACAAATGTGTGAATATACAGGGTGACTGGTGAATTACTATCGATATTTAAGGACGTGATATTTGACGATCATATATGACAAAATAAAAATTAATATAACATAAATATTAATAAACTTCTAAGTAAAGTTAACCAAAAGTTATGTAATTAATTACGCATCGTATGAACACCCTACAGATTAGGTATACACACACACTCACACAGACGCGGCGGCGGCGTAGTGTTGTATCAGCACGCCGCCGCACGCGTCAACACTTGGAACACTTGGAACAAAAATTAAGTACCTATTTTTTTTACATAATTCGAATGAGAATCATGTACCGAGTATGCTCCTTAAATATTGATAGTAATTCACCAGTCACCCTGTAGAATTCAAAATTTATGTAGATACCGTGAAAGAATAATAATCTCCCAACGCGGTATTGTAGTAAACCTTTTTGTTGACTTATTTCAAATATTCAGAATTTTAAAGAATACACTCAAAGAATATGCATTTGTCATCGCTTCTTAATTATGGTAATCGATTCTTAATTAAGGCTTCATTGCCTGGTATACTAACAAGTAAATTTTATTTTTAATAAGTCCATTTACGAAGCAAGCCTAGAATGTTTTAGATTATCAGAGTATCTCGAATAACCGAGGTGATAGATTCAGTTAAGATATCATCAGGAATCAACATACATATTATAACATGTCTTCAGTAAATGCAATCAATTCTGTGTGCATCGTTGAAATGATCGATGGCTATATAATTTAATAAAGTTATTGTTCTCGGAGTTTAGGTAGACAAAGCAGCATACAAATATTTTAAATTTCATTTTAATAGTTTTGATGTTTTAGAAAAGCTTGTACAAAATTTAATTTATAGAAATTATCGCTAGTTTTACCAAAAATACTGCTGCATGAATTGTGGCTGAATTAATCTGCCCCTTTCATTGCTAGTACCCTCAAGTTAATAACTACTTAATAAGAAAATATCTTTTTGAGAATAAAATTATATAAATATAAGTATGTCTCGAGAGTCGAAACATTTGTTGAACGCACCCTCTTTGGTTCTGGTACTTCAACTTGGTCCCTTCAAAGCCATATTTTAAGGGTACGTCCCACAGGACCATGCAACACCCCATTGAGGCTTTCAAATGCTTACATTCAAACTGAAAAGATGTACAACAGACTCTTGTTAATATTAGTTATGAATTCTTAATATTCATTCTTAATAATCTACTTCGTAGACATTTGGATGGGCAGTTTTGTTTTCTCCGTAATAGGTAATTGAAATAGATATAACTCTATAAAACATTAAAATTATTAAAATCAATTTAAAAATATTTGTATTCTCGTTTGTCAATTTATAACTCCAAAATCATTAACTTTATTACATTATATAGCCATCGATCATTTTGACGATGCACACAGATTAGATTGCATTTACTGAAGATATGTTATACATACATATGTTGATTCCTTTTAGGAGGCCGTATATGTTATCTTAACTGACTTTATTACCTCGGGTATTCGAGGTATTATACATATAAGTTGTGATTAAAAATGTTATCTTATACATTAAATGTAAATGCTAATTTTTAAGTCTACCTATATGTTGCTTGCAGACATCTCATTTAAATTGAAAATATGTTTTCATATAGTACATAAAGCATCATAGTAATATAAAGTAAAAAGCAGTGCCAGTAAAGTTCTACAATAACATTTTACTAACGACATTCATACGTAGCCTTTGGGAGACATATGCTCCTTGCTTTTGTTTTAATCTACTTTGATATTAAAAATGATATGGGGATAAAAGATCTTAATAGTTTATATGGATTTAATTATTTAAACAAAGTAAATTATTTTATGATATTGTTTCAATATAGAATCTATTTCAATAAATCGCAATACAGTAGAAGTTTCAGTTTTTTAATAGGAATAAAATGAATGCAATGCAATGCAATGAATTTAGAAATGCAGAACGAGTGGTTAGACATAGGAGATTTTTGCATCCCATTAGCATTAAAATGGCGCACTTTAATTTATGATTGGTCGCCAGCATTGCTAAAATTCTATCTCAATGCGTTCCAGATGACTCTCCCAGATCAGAGTAATTTAGTAAGATGGGGTAAAAGTACCGAAAAAACTTGCTATATCTGTGGAAAGGCAGTTGGAACTGCTAAGCATCTGCTGGTGGGATGTAAGGTACTCCTTGACAGCGGTCAATACTCGCGTCGTCACGATAGGGTTCTAGAAGTCATACGTGAAGCGGTTAGTCTTTCGGTAGCCAGAGCGCAAAAGGGAATAACTACAAACGAACGATCAGTAGGTTTTGTGAGAGAAGGCTCTAGGGCTACAAAATCAAACGTCAAGCCTTACTCCATCCTTAAAGCGGCGTCGGATTGGACTATAATGATGGACACGTATGAAAAACAATATAAAATCCCCGAGGATATTTGTGCGTCGGCCTCCAGACCGGATATATTTTTGTTTTCGCGAATTTTAAAGCGCGTAGTGATGATAGAGCTTACGGTCCCTTGGGAAACCAACATCCCCAAAGACCATACCATCAAGGTCAACAAATATTACGAGCTCACAAACGAACTCACTCGAAATAGGTTCGTAGTAGATTTGTACGCGGTAGAGGTGGGAGCGAGAGGTATAACAGCGAAATCTCTCTATAACCTACTAAAGGACTTGGGCTTGCCCAGAACTCACATTAATGCATTCTTGGAACGTACATCGAAGGCAGCCCTAGTAGGTTCTTTTCAAATTTGGTTAGGTAGGGAGAGGAGCTTGGACAGTGGAGGTGAGCGTATAACGCGCGTTAGTTAAGGGGCCCCTTAAACCTACACTTGGGTCGCAAGTCCCAGGCACTGTTGAAGCTCCTCCCCCTGCAACGCGATGGACCCGGCACCCGCACGGTGAATCCATGGAATGCTGAGAAGTTTCGTCGTCTTACCGTGTTCGACTTAACAAATTTCACCTACTCGTATGTTTCTTGTATAATATCAGATATCCTGACGACAGAATCATTGTTATAATTTATGTTTAACTTCATTGAATAATAAACTGAAAAATGAAAATTATAGAAATAAACTAAATATAATTATTGCGTTTTGTATGATTATTTTTTTACATTCAAATATACAAATATTAATGGCCCAATGCCTTATGAGAAAGTAAATATTTACTTAATTTAAATTTCGTCCAATCTTTAATTTGTATTCCACAAATAAAAACCTTACAAATAACAGTTTTTAGAATAATTTGTAAAACAAAGATATGAACCACTCTCACCATACTTTATCTGAATTCATTATTCCCCTATTAAAATGTAATTACAAAACGAAGTCTAATTTTAATTACCTTTTATTACTTAGTATTAGCCTATTCTATGGAATCGTATTAATGTTCAACTATTTTAGGACTGATGAAAATAAAGTTGCAATTGTGAAAAAATTCGTTCCAACATTTGGAAAGTGAGATTCTCGATAAAACTAAGTATTTTTATTTACCTTATTCAATTGTTATTACGATTGTTACTGTTTTTTTTTTTGAGCTTTTATTTTACTTGTTACGTATAAATCATATTTGTTTGAATCTTCATCGTTACTTATCCAAGTCAGCAAAATAATTATACTTAATGCACTTCTACAATGATATTTTTTACAATGTATTGAATAATAAAAAATTGTGATCATAGTATGGTAAAATTAAGTTATCATAATATAGTACATAACATTCAAAGTAATTAATTTTATTGGTTTATATAAAATATTGTATTTGAATTAGTACATACTTGTTTAAATGAAACAATAATAAAAATACATTAATAACGTAACCACTAACTAAAAATTTAAAAATAAAAGGTAACAAACGAACTGTACCCTACTTTAGAAGAGTTAAATGAAAAACAACCTCTAGACAATATGCACTTTTTTTGAATATGAAATCGTAATCTTAGAGTAAGTCAAAAATAAAAAAAGGGAATAGCTTCTATTCAAAATAAACTAAACTCATATCCTAATTTAATCCTATTTTATATTTCTAACTTACTTTTCAATTCAAAACTGTAAATGAAAACATCTTTCATGACTTCTATTTAATACATTGTATAAAAATACAAATATCAACAAATTTTAATATTTACTTTGTTGTAACAACTGAAAATTTGTATTTGAGTTACTTTTAAATTTTCAGTATAGTTTTGAAGATATAAAATGTTAATCTTTATGACAATAACAACATTGTAGTAAAATATTTATAACTTTTTTATTCATAACGTGTGCCCTCGATTTTTAAAAGCTGAGTTAACCGAAGACTTACAATATGTACTGTAATATATTTTAGCCAAACTAAAACATTTAAGTTATTTTATGACTTCTGTTCTCCGTTCATGACGTTTTTGTAATAAATATAATTTATGACTTATCTCTTTAAAATAAAACTAAATAAAATAACATGTTTTGTGTACTACTTTATATGTACAATTTAATACATATTGTTGTTGTGTTTCATAGATTTAGTCTACTTTATTTTTATATGCAAGTCTCGCTCAAAATAAATAAAATAAGAATGGAATGTTTTCAATTTAAGAACTGATTTAATATAAAATGATTTAAAGTTTAAGAGTCAACTTCTATTTTTATTTATATTTACTTGGATCTGTATAAATAACTTAATCTATATGTACTTATAAAAAATGTAATTTAATACAGGAACTTAATTAAAAGTGAAGCTATGATACGATCTGTAAATATTATGTATTTTTATATCCTCGCGTCCTCTTGACATCTCTTAAGCTAAAACAATATCATGGAATGTTACATAAAACTCGTATTTTCCTCGTATTTTATATTCAACTCGCTATTCCTGTGAGTCGAATGACGTTGTTGCATTTCCTCTTGAAATAACATTTTGCATACATTTAATATAAAAATAAAGATTGTAAAATGAATAAAGGACAGAAATGTGCAATATAATAAAAAATATTTCACAAAACTCTTCGCAATCAGCTCGAAACAAAACTTGCATGGAGATTCGTTAACTATGTCATGTCTCAATAAGTTTTTTTCATAAAACCTGTATTTTAATGTAGTGTTTAGTGTAAATTTTATAATTATCATAGTCATACTCTAACCATCTTTAAGGCGGATATCATATTTACTTTTGTGCTGCAAATATCCAGGGGTGACATTGACCACTTACTATGTATTTGATCGTGCGGACCCATATGGTTGTGTGCCGTTCATAGCACTTAAAATAAAGTAGTTCAGGCATGTTCTGCCTTTCGTGCTCATCTGTATTAATTTTATGTATAAGAATTTTGATGAATTGACTTTTTATATTTCTAAAATTTTAATTAAATTTATAATTCATTTATAAGAAAGAGATAATTATATGTTTTTTATGAAATAATTTCGTCACATTTAAAAACTGAAAATAATATATTTTACAAATAAATATATTTTCCATGTTTACGTCTATATCAAACCGGAATTCACAAGAAACATGTTATTTTTTAAAAACAATTCTCTCAGGATTCGAGTATGAAGTTATTCAGAAAGAACAGAAAAGTATAAAGTGAGAATGAATATTTATTGTGTGCACGACCATCTGCTCCATCTGCAATATAAAGTATACCAGATGTTGAAATACTTACATTTATTTTTATTTAAACATTATTGGATTGTTTGAACATTAAAACATATATTTATAAATACAGATTATAAAAGAGGTCAATATGAAAAGTTCAAAAAAAGTTGTAGAAAACTAAATTAAAATTCAGGGAAAGAAACCAAATAAAATACTATTTTAATCATGACTTTACTTTAAAAATATCAATATATTATAAATTATTTTACGTATCTCAAGTAATTTCAGACATAATTATCAGTATATTGCCTTCAAATGTATAAACATAGAAATAATGGAATAAATTTTAAAATGTTGTCTAATTTAATAAATATTAAAAAAACATTAAGTATTTTATAGGTTCTATACGTGACTTTTGTCTTTTAATGATCTCATTAACCTAACTTCGACATTGGTTCTTCGTCTATTTTTGGTGATAATTTTGCACCTCCATATTTATCTCTATTTCAGTTTCAGCCTATCGGCTGTAACTTGTGATCGAAAACCTTCTCCGAACTTCGCCTACCGAAGTAACCCGCGTCCAACCGCCATCCGCTAGTCAGACATTTGGTCAATCTATAATGTTGCTAAGCGTTCTACAACGCATTTGCTCATTTAATGGTCTGATCGTCGGGACACTTGTTCGGATAGTTCCCATTTCAATATACTAATCCAGCTTGCATTTATTAAGTCTACTTTACTCCTTTAGAAAGAGGTGGCGGACGGCGGACGGCGCGGACGGAAGAGGTGGCGGCGGAAGATCACTGCAGAAGCCAAAAACATCGGGAAGACTTGGAGCGACATGAACGGCGAAGCTCAAGACCGAACGGGATGGCGACGTACTGTGGACGACCTCTGCCCCATCTGGGGGATATAGGATTAGAAAGAGGACTCCTCTAGAAAAACTTCATTATGGCACTTCATTTATTAAAGTTGTAGTTTCATATTGAATAAATATTGTTACAAGCCAATTCTATTTCACTTCATAATCCTTTTATTATAAGCGTAATATTACCGTTATCTACAAAGGGTCCTTCTGTCCTTCGATTATTTTTTGATGTTTTAATGAAACTCCAAGACTATGCGTCTGTTTCAGTATTTTTATTGTAAGAGGTCAACATCTATTGAATTGAAAAGTTACAATAATTTCGTAATTCAAGATCATACCATAGGCCTAGATAATTTATAAAATGTGTTATTGGCTGTATAAATCGGTTTAATTAGGAAGTAATTAATCAAGAATTGTCAAATTAATTTATTCTAACACTTAACTCTATAAAAGAAAACTTTACATGCGGCTTATTACGTTAATGAATGATCATAATTATACTTTATAACTGGTAGAAATTTTCATGTAGTAAGTTCACATATTCTAATTAGTATACTTTAAATAACAATATGTAGATTGTATCTTAACAGGCTCTACATAATTATGATAAGCCAAACAAAACAATGTAACATTTTATTATTTAAAAAATATTTAGTTAGTTTATATCTATTGTCTTCATATAATGACAGAGACAACAAAGTGATACCTTAATAGTTCTGTTTTTGTCCTTTGAAACACAGAAGCCTTAAAACCGACCCAATAAAGTCTAATTGAAATGCAAGCACCGTACATTTTGTTTGTTAGAACGCTAACTTCAAAATGTTATTTTTTATTTCAATTAATCATTCGTCAGGATATAAAAGCTGTTTTATAAACTAATATTTTTAAAATAAAACAATCATCATCCTCATTATAATCATCAGCCTATCGGAACCCACTACTGAGCAAGAACTCTTCGCAGATGGAAAAGGTTAGTGCATTAATATTAATCACTACGCTTACACAAGACAGATTCGCAATTTCAAAGTTATAACTTGAAATTATAAGTCCACGTTTCTTCGCGATGTTTTCCTTCACCACCTGTCAATGGTGGTGAAGGAAAGAACATATTACTAGTTATAATTACATTGGTACTTGCCCAACTTTGAACTAGCACCCTCATGCATGAGAGTTAGACCTTTGACCCCTAGGCCATCACGACTTATTAAAAATACAATTTTGAAGTTATAGTTTTTATTTAATTTAAAGAAAATAGTATTTCTCATATCTTTATGATTTGTATTAAGACAAATGTCAATCCATACCTTTATTTACTTTAAATAGAACAAGAACTTAAACAGTAACCAAATAACAAATGACAATAAGTTAA